ATGGTTGGCAAACTTTGGATTAGCAAACCTCTAGTGTTACAATAGTAGAAAGCTTAAATGGAGTTTTATTTATCGCCCATCTTTTCCACATTTTCTTTATTAGAAAAATTCCCCAGATAATTTTTATGAGTAAATATAGATTTTAGATGATTTTTCTAGTATCGGTTAGTTTTTGAGAAATTAAGAACGTATATCAGACGTGGGACCCACTAGTGCGGTAAGTTCGGAAAAAATCGGCCGATTAGGTTAAGTTTCGGATACTGGGTTTAAATTATCGGGTGCTAAGAGATAATTAGAGGATACTTTATGGATTAGAGTGAGAGGGAACAAAGTGATGGACTTGCATTAATGAAGGTGACAAGTGTCACCCTTGGATTAGTCCTTAAGTAAGACTACTATTCCTTGTCTTACCATTTGGTTAAAATATCTCAAAAAATTACCAAAAATTCACTCTTTTCTTCTCCATCTTGGCCGGCCTTCTCTAGCAAAGGAAGAAAGAAAACTCTTCAAAGTTTTGGCTTCCATCTAGCTCAAATCCTCCAAAACAATCACTTAAACTTGTTTCTACTCCATAAAACCTCTTCATTAGGCGTTAGTGAGTTGTTTGGTGAAGTGTTTGGGGAAGCTAAGGTGACAAGCAACTCTCCCTCTCTTGTTTTACTAGGTGAGTAGTGAATGAACCTTCTCCTTCACCTAATGAAGCTTAATTTGTGCTTAGTGGTAGTTAAAATGTTCAATTTTGTGGTTTATTTCTTGATTTTGGATGAAGTGGTGAAGTTTTCCATTTATTGGTGATTTTTCTGTTTATATATGAATTTGATGGTGTGGCCTTGTATGATGATTGGCAATGGCCTAAAATGAGGCTAGTAGGTGTAAATGATTGTTAATTACAAGCATTTTTTGGTTTGGAGGGAAATTTGGAAGACTAGGGTTTCATACCCTTCAATTCTGTCCGGTTTTGTATCTCCTAGATAGAGGCTGAATTGGCCTTGGATTAAAACATAAAAGTTGTAGGGAATGACATTCTAGAGGTGCCTGCAAAATTTCAGGTTAATCGGAGTACTGTAGAATGAGAAAAGTCAAAATTACCCTTGCTATCCTGGTTTTACCCGAATGTAAGAATTGCGCCTGTAATTGGTTGTTTTGGCTGGAATTGCTTCAGAATTGGTTGTTCCAGTCTTCTAATGAAATGTATCCCTATTTCTAAGCTTTTGTATGGCTTTGGAATTTCTGGATTTGGACTTATGTAGGCTGTTTTATGATGTTTGTACTAGAATACGGTTTGTGAACCTGTTTTGCGATTCTGGTGTAGGATGTTACATTTTTGACGTAGTTACACTCGAAATTGGACTGAGTGACCTTCTTCAACATTGTAGCCTCTTAAGTCCTGAATATGCCTGTAAAATTTCAGGTCAAACGGATTAGTATATCATGAGTTATAGATGAAATACTCAAGCCTATTTTGAACATTAGGTTCTGTGCGTTTTTAGTTTAGCTTCTGCCCGTGACTTTTTCGGTTTTGGTACCGTACGATCTGGGTGGTGACTCCTTCATAATAAATGTAGATCTTGGTTTTGGCTTCAAAACGGTATAAAGTGCGTCGAAATCCGAGTTCCGTAGCTTCCGTTATGACCCAAACAAGATCAATCATCAGAACTGCCTTTGAATCTGGACAGTTCTGATGGGTACTTTGACACTCAAATTTCATTCTGTTCTGAGTGGATTCAGGTCTTGGCCAAAACATCAAAGTTTTAACCTTATGTCTCAGCTTTCTAATTCCTTTGGAATTTCCTGATTTGGATTTGTGAGCTGGGAGTTATAGTCCAGCAAACATAACCTGTCCGTTACTTTGGAGTGCGAATTCCTGGAACGATTTTCTGCACTTTCGACCCATCTCTGTTCAGATCCGGAGTTAGGGGTCTTCATGAAAGTTATAGAATTTTCTCTTAGCTTCACAACGGTACCTCATGTACCTTGATCCGACACTCATAGCTTCTATTAGGCTCAAAACAGTTTTGACGGCAAAATGGCTAGGCCGCCATTCCCGTTTCCGTGTGCCGTTTCCGCACTCGTATGTGCCGATTTTGCCGTTTTGCTTGTTTTAGGCATATTAGTAGCCATTTATGATATTATGTGATGCAATCTTTTATTTCAGAAGGTGGTGAGCTAGGTGGAGCCGGTGGGGCCTACTAGCTACTCCTCGCGGCACAAATTTCGAACTTTTGCTCTTTTGTTTGTTGTGTAAGTATTCAGGCCACTCTTACGTGTTAGTTGTTTATGTGTTTCGATATGTATGAAAAGGGTACCTAGGCGAGGGTGTACTTTATCGGACTCGACCTAAACCCTAGTTTGCGCACATATTTGTACTTGACATATGTATATGAATCATTTTGGAACTAAACCCCTTGAGCTTGTGGCTCGGGGTGACTTTTGAATAAATTTTGTGAAGTTTATGAGTTTGGGGCCCGATCTCATGACCTAGATGGACTATTCGAGCCGGTTAAGGCTTGGTCGAAATCAGTCCAACCTGGTTTGAGGTCACCAAGTTTGTGAATCCGGTTCACCGATTATGTGGACCAAGTTTGTGACCCGAGCTTGTGAACTAAGCTCAATTTCATTCGCTCGAGCAAGTTTGTGAGGTGCTTGGCCAGAGAGGGTGATAAGGTGTACGGTGGGAGTACAAGTGAAGTTCTATGGACCATTAATTGTGGTCGACGGAGTGTCGGCAGGAGATCATACATGGCACATGAATTGGCTTTGGAGCCACCTGTATCCTTATTATGTGATGTTACTTTTCTGCTTTTGCTTTACTCTTACTGTGTAACTGTTGTTACGTGAAATTTACGTTTTCGCCCCTGTTTACTTACTAAGCATATAGCTTACCCCTTTCCTTTTGTTTTCCTTAGCAGGGACCGGCGCGGGGAACTTTTGGCACACACACTAGTATAGTTAGGTTTGATTGTAATAGTCGGATAGATAGTATGTTTGTTTTTGTTTTGGTGGTTTGTATAAGGACCCTCCTTAGGGTCTATCTTCTGCTGGTTGTGGTTATAGTATATTAGAGTGGTTTGACTCGATACTTCAGAAGATGTAAATAGAACTTTTTGCGGTTGTATATATTATGAATAGTTCTCTTGTGGTTTAATATAGTTTTATTAGTTTTGTGTTTCGAGTCCTGGCGCGAGCTAGGCAGGTGTCCCGCCGATACCCTAGGGTTCGCCTTTGGGAGAAGCGGGGGCGTCACACAAAAGGCCAGGGTCAAGTGGCTCCAACACGGTGATCGTAATTCAAGATATTTTCATTCGGTGGTAAAGCAATGCCAGGATTCAGGATTTGGCAGGAGATTGGGTGATGGACGATGAAGGGATCAGAAGGGAGGCGGTCTGGTATTTTAGTAACTTATTCACGGTGACCCTATGTCCGAGTTTTAGCTTCTGCATGTTATCCCTAACCTCGGTGACGATATCGAGAACACAAGACTGGAAGAGGTCCCCTCTTTGGAGGAGGTGAAGGCGGTGATCTTCGATATGGATGGGGATAGTGCAGCTGGGCCAAACGGGTTTATAGGAAAATTCTTTATGATGGCCTAGGAGGTGGTGGCTCACGATGTGTACAAGGCGATTGTCAGTTTCTTCTGTGGTGCTGAGTTACTGAGGTTCATTATGGCTACGTCTATTGTTCTCCTCCCCACGGTCATGTACCATAAGGATTTTACTCAATTTCGTCCTATTAGTGTGAGTAATTTTTTGAACAAAGTCATTTCTCGACTCTTGGTGGGGAGGTTGTCTGGTATGTTACCTCGAATCATTTCTCCTCAGCAGAGTGGCTTTGTTAAAGGGCGATAGATTGCAAATAATTATTTTTTGGCTCAAGAGCTGATATCGGAGATGGGAAGGAAGTGCAAAAGGGGGAATCTGGCTCTGAAATTAGACATGGCTATGACGTATGATAGGGTTTCCTGGCCATTCCTTATTACTGTTCTGCGTCGGTTTGGCTTTGGCGAAAGATTTATTGACATGGTGTGGAGGTTGATTTCAAATGTTTGGTTCTTGGTGTTTGTGAATGGGGTGCCTTATGGATTTTTCAAATCCTCTTGAGGGTTGCGTCAAGGAGATTCGCTATCACCTACTTTATTTATCCTTAGCTCAGAGGTGCTTTCCCGAGCCTTAAATGCCCTTGTGTCCTAGACACGGGTCGTGGGGTATAAGGTTCCACGACACTGCCCATCCGTTTCTTATTTGGCATTTGCTGACAACGTTATGCAGATTTTGGACTGGTATCAGAGTGACTCTGGTCAGTTGGTAAATGTGCAGAAGAGTAGATACTTAGTACATCCGCAGATCACGGTAGTCCGTAAAAGGGTAATTGAGCAGGTTACTCAGTTCCACAAAAGGGAGTTTCCGGTTCGGTACTTGGGTGCTCCGTTGTTTATTGGCAGAGCCAAGGAGATGTATTACCCGGAGTTGTGCCAGAAGGTTCTTGATAAGGTACTATCTTGGAAATCCCGGCTGCTTTCTTTTGGGAGGAAGCTCCTGTTGGTTAGGCATGTATTGTCCAGTATCTCGATTCATTTAATGGTGGTGGGGGTCATTCCAAAAAGCACTTTCCGGATGATTGAGAGGGTGTGTGCTGATTTTCTCTGGGGAGAGGGGGATGAGAAGAAGAAATGCCACTGGATCCGTTGGCAGGACTTATGTTATCCCACGGATGAAGGTGGGGCTGGGTTTCGATCGCTCATTGACGTGTATAAAGCCTTTTCGTGTAAATTATGGTGGAATTTTCGGTGTGGGCTCTTCTTGTGGGCGAGATTATTGAGCGCTAAGTAATGCAAGGGGCTTCACCCGTGCCAAATTTCCATGTCTACCTTAGGCTCGGAAACCTGGAAGAGAATGTTAGATGTTCGAGGGTTGGCGGAGTTGTTTATTGGGTGGAGCATGCATGAGGGCCGATGTAGTTTCTGGTATGATAATTGGACTGGCCACGGGGCTTTATAACTGAGGATGGGGGTATGGGAGGACGTCTCATGTCTAGCCTTTGTGGAGGATAGGGCATGGGTCGCATGGAGGATTGCGGAGGTCCTGCCTGGCGACATGGTGCAGCAGGTATTGGCGGTGGGTGGGCCGGATGGGGCCTCTTCTGATAGAATGATATGGTTAGCGTCAAGCTCAGGTCAGTTTTTGTTATCGTCCGCCTATAGAGAGGTTCATGAGATGAGGACATCGTCCTTCCTCTTTCGCCAGATATGGCGTGCGAGTGTCCTCCTGAAGGTGTCTTTCTTTATGCTTCGGTTGCTGTCCAATCGACTTCCCATGGATGACGTGTTGGCGGCTCGTGGGATTCATCTTCCATCTAAGTGCTCATGTTGTCTGGTGTCGAATATTGAATCCCTTTGTCACTTGTTTGTGGAGAGGGAGCTGGCAATGGCGGTGTGGCAATTTTTTGGTTTGGTAGCTGGGTTGGATCTGAATATCAGTCATATCCGGGTGTGGTTGTTTGGTTGGTGGCTCAAGCCGATGAGTTCGAAGAAGCTTCGGTTTGTTTTCCGGATCTTACCTAATCTCATTTGTTGGCATATTTGAAAGGCTAGGAACACAGCGGTGTTCCAGGGGTCTGTGCAGCGGCCTATGGAGGTATGTCAGGCCATCTTTTGGGAGTTGAAGGATGCCTTTTGGCTCAAGTTCGGGGAGATACATAGGGTGGTAGATTGGCCTACGTTCTTGGATTCGGTCAAGGGCAAGCTGGATGCGTTTCTCGTGCGTACGATTTGGTGGTTTCCTCTAGGGCTGGGCGGCATCAAGCTCAATATTGATGGGTGTTCAAACGGTAACCCAGGGGTGACTGGAGGTGGGGGAATCCTTAGGAGTTCTACGGGATGTAAGCTATACCAGTTTGCGAGCAGAGGCCAAGGCATTATTACTCGGGCTGCAGCTGTGTGCGCAACAGGGCCTCGGTGGTAATTTGGTGGTGGAGACAGATTCGTTGATGTTGCAACGCATTCTTCTGAAGAGGTACCAGTGTCCATGGTCCATCAGTACAGAGGTGGGGCAGATTGAGCTAGTGGCCGGGGGTTGTGAAATCTTACACTGTTACAGGGAAGCAAATAAGGTCACAGATGTTTTGGCAAATGTTGGGTCGACACATCCTCAGCATGGGTTTTATGTGTATGAATGGATTGCGGATTTGCCCAGAATGGCTAGGGGTGAATACCGATTGGATAAGCTTGGTTTTTCGTCCTTTCGCATGTTTAGTGTCACAGGTGCTACTGCCAAAATGTAATGCTCCACATGGTTGTCTTTCCTGTTTGATCTAATAAAATAAAAAAAATAATTTTAACTTAAAAAAAAGTGCTAATAGTGAATTAGTCAAACATAAGTTAAAAATGCAAGAGAGACAAAGAAATAGATTTGAACCAACTCGCGCCACTTGTCATCGGTTCAAGACACCCCTTGACTAAGACTTTTCTTTCCTTAATCTTCTTATTTTTTTTTTAATTTTCCCTTCCCTATTTTTTTAGGGTGTTGGCCGAAATTTTGGAGGAAAAAAAGAAAGGAAAAGAAGAAAAAAAAGAGGAAAAATAGTTGGGTGCCAAGTGTTGGCAATCAAGGTCATCTTTGACCAAAACCTTTCTTCCATCTTTATCTTTCATTTCACCAAAATTTCCTTCACTTTCTTACCTTCTTGGCAAACCAAAAGAGAGAAAAAGAGAGGGAGAAACTTCAAATTTCACATTGCTTTTGGCTTAATTAAGTGAGGAAACCAACAAGAAAGTTAAATCTAAATCGAAGGAAGTTGTAATAAGGGAACAAGAAGACTTGTAGTGGAGTGATTTGGAAGTACTCTTTTTTTTAATCTTGCAATTGAATGAGATTATGGCTTGTTTGTAGTAGGTTTTATGGAAGATTTTGTAGTTTTCTGTAGTAGTTTGTTATTTTCTAGATTTGCTAGACAATTTGCAGCTTTGGGATGTTATTTTTAGCTTTGATATACCCTTTTAGTTTTAACATGGGAATTTCTAGCTTTAGTATGAATTTTTAGCTTCAAAATAGGATTTTTCAGCTTTAGTTTGTAAATTTCCAACCTAGGGTTTAATTTTCCAACATGAGTATATGATAGATATATGCTATGCTATGTATATGCTTAATTTAGTTAGTTTGGTGGCCTAGTTTAAGAACCCCTTTTACCTTATAACTTGTGGATTTGATTTGGGTTGTTCTGCCATGAAACTTAGCTTTGGAAGTTGGAGGAAAATTGAAGGAAGAATAGGGGAGACGCCACCTATTTCTTTTCTTGTAGTATAAGTGAGTGAAAGTGAGAGTAGAAGGATGATTTTTGGTTGATTTGGACTTGGTTTGCTTAGGGTTGCTTGAGTTTCCCTTGGTAGTGATACATAAGCTGAAATTTTGCTAAAAACTATATATTTTGCAAGGAGAATGTAATGGCCATTTTAAGTATGATTTCTAGTTACATAAGTCAAGTTTAAACTTAAAGGTTTTAATCGTTTTCTTTCTAAAAACAAAGAGGAGCATGCATGTATCTTGCATATGGTTTGCTAAGCATTATAAGGTTCATTTATAGGATCTTCCTTTGATATTAACAAGCGAGGGTTGTATATTTTGAAATCCTATTTGATTACATTTTGTTATACGACATTTGATCGCAGATTTTGAATCCGGCCAGGGAGTTAGGCCTGAACTTGATTTTGATAAACAATAATCATTGGTGAGTGTTTCACCTGCATGACTTGGACTATGTGACTTGTTACTAGATATCTTGACTTGTTATTTAAAAGACGAGTATGTACTTTATCGCACTCGACCTAATTTGCTCGAATTCTTGTCGACCTGTTTATTTTTAAATCGACTTGTTTATTTGTGAACTAATATATCTGTGCATGACTTGAAAGCCGGTTGGAGTTGTCATCTCACCATCTATACTTGTTTTAGGATCCCATCCTTATCAGCCAGTTGGTCAAATTGGGCAAGCAAGGGCATGGTTGAGGTGACTAATGAACCATGGGACTTGTAACTTGTTATTGGCCTTGGAATACTTAAGTATTACCCTACTTGTACTTGATTGGCGTGTGGGCCTGGGTAAGGGGGATTGTGACGGCCCCACCTCACCTTAAGACGAACCAAAGGGTTCGGCGGACCGCCTGCCCAACTCTCGTCGGGACTCAGTCGTTCACTACAATCCTCAAATAGATTACAATATAAATCTCAAATATAAATCAAATTCTCCAATAATTACATGTCATAAGCGAAGCGGAAACAATTTTCAACTATACATAAAATGATTCCAAATCCAAACTGTACAAGATATATGCCATCTAGTCACGTGAATAAGTACTACAAGCCTTCCTTCGCCACGAGCCCTGTGGAGGGGAATAAAATAGTTTTGGGGTGAGCTAAAAGCTCAGTGAGTAACCAGTAAAATCAGTACTCAAATATATTTCCCAATAATGCATTTTGATGATGTTATGATTCAGTAATCAAATATCCGTTTATTGCTCTCATGAGCTAGTGAAATCATTGCACTTAAACACCCAACGCTCAAATAAATTACATAACGTTAAACAACAAGGGGGAGCAACGTTGGTGCTCCAGATAATGTCTGTAGACACCAAATTTTTGGTGTAATTTCATTTTTAGTTTTTTATTTGTCGTGTTCGTTTTTTAGTTTTTAGTTTCTAGTATTATTTTTATTTTAGAATTTCTTGAAAAAAGGGAAAAAGCAACAAAAGAAAAGGAAAAAAAAAGAAAAATAATAAAAATGACAAGTGAAATCTTGCATGTGGGACAAATGTCCTCATTCTAGTTGGACAACAAAGGGGTTAGGTGTTACACATTTAGAGGGCCCAAGAGAGAAAAAGGAGGGGGCTGCGAGAGAAAAATAAAAGAAAAAAAGGGCAGAAACTAGCTACGGCAAGAAGGGACGGCCAGAAGAAAAGCTTCGGATGGGAAAAACAAAAAAGAAAAAGAAGAAGAAGAGAAAAGAAAAAAAAAACAGAGAGAGGGAGGTCGGCAAGAAAAATCAGAAGAAAGAAAAAAAGAGATTACGGACGAAAGAAACAAAACAGAGGAAGAAAAGGGCGGCGGACAAGAGGGAAATTGAGAGAGGTCTAGGGATGCTTCGGCTAAAAGGGGGAGAAATCTGGAAGGGAGAAAAGAAAGAAACAGAGCAACAAAGAAAGAGGCGGCGGACAAGGAAGCAGGGAGCTTGGTCTAGGAAAACAGAAACAGAAAAAAGAGCAAAAGGAAAAACTGAAAAAGGAGAAGAGGTTCTGCGTTTGGGGTGGAAAAAGGCTACGAGAGCTACGGCAAGCAGCAGGGAAATTGGAGGAAGAGTCCAGGAAAATTGGGGAAGAATTCAGACGGGTCCATCCAATCGTGCCGACTCGAATGGTGCTGCCCAAAATGACATCGTCAGAGGAGAGTATCCCCACCACCTCCACCTTCATCATCGGTCCACCATGACCACGCCGACGGCAGCTAATCACCCCAACCCAAACCCTCCGATGCTTAGGCCAACGAAGCCACCACCGCAACTTTCCATTGCCGCCTGAGAAGTTTCACCAAGAACACTGTAAGCCGTTTCCTCCCCTTAAATTGCAATCTTACCTCTTCAAGGGCAAACTCTGGAAATCCCCAACCCCAAGCATGTTTCAGTGAATTGGTCATTGTGACTTTCTTGATTGATTGCCCGTCGTTTGTTGTTGATCGTATGTGTTCTTATGGATTTAATTGGACAGAAGTTTTGATTATCGAACCATGTTGGGCCGATTATGTTTCCAATATATCGAAAAGTGGTGAAACTTTTAATGTCCACAACCTGCACGATGGATTGCCTAATTGAGTCTTCTAATCGAAAGTTAACTTGTCTGCGTTTTGCGTGTGAAGAAATTGGATAAGTTAGCAAATCATTTCTTTGTATTTGAGAAGTGTTGAGGAATTCATTAGCATTTGCTGTTGTTTTGTTCCATTCCGAAGTAATTTTAGGAGATGGAGTTTCGTGAGTAAATTTTGTTCTCTATTGGGAATGATTGCATTTGAAATTAAGTCTCTGGTATTGCCGATTGAAAAGAACGGGAATGCTAATTGATGTTAAATCAGTGAAAAAGATTGCTTTCTTGTTGGAACCTGAAATGTTGACTATGTTTTGATATTCATTCTCTGGTTTGAGAACCTGAATGTAAATAGACAGCAATCTATTCGTCAGTACTTATGGGCTGTTTCTCTTGTTTATCTCTCCCGTTTTATAGGTTCCCTCTTCCCTCTGTTTCATGTATCTCTTTGTTAAATCAGTCAGATGTTGAGAATCTTTTTAATGAGCATAAGGCATGCCCAGAATGCACGTAACAAAATTCTGCTTGTGACGTCTTAAGTCCGTCTTTCATGTTTAACTTCGCTCTTGTGACATGAAGTGGTGAGTTCCGTTTAGCTGGATTTTTATGCTTCACGCTTCGCAATTCATAAAGTCCGCGGCTTATAAATTTGCGGCACAGCAATTCACAAGCTCCATGTTCATTTGTATTTGTTAGCATTGAGGTTTATTCTTTGAGTTATGATCTTTTCATTATGATTAGCTTCCAGGTCTCCAAATGTATGAAGAAAATTTGTTGTCATTTTCCCCCTTGCTCACTTGTTTTTTTTGCTCCATGCTGTTTCTTTTCCTCATTTTACTCTTGCTGTGAGTAAATCACTTTGAGTTTGTAAAGCAAGTTCATGCATAACTTTGCTATCACAAACTTCAAACTTGATTGGAGACTGTGGGAAGCTCCCTAGTTTTTTGCAGCAGTAGACATGGTCTTGTAATGTTGTAAAATCAGCTGCCCAAGTTCAGGTCACTTAGTTGCCTTTTGTGTTTAAAGGTTTTGTTGCATGTTATCTTTTCTTTGTCCCATGTCCTCAGTCCGTGCACTTGAATCATGTTTGAATAGCTTTGCTGAAAAATGAATAATCAGATTGCTGAAGCATCTTTGCATGCAAGTTTTTTTTTTAAGAATTTACATGATTTCTTTTCTAAGTTTTGCTTGTCTAGAGGCCAAAGTTATGTGTTGTGTTGTTTTAGTGTAAAGTTTGGATGTTGGATTGAGAAAGTTGGGATCAAGCTTTGTGCATTTGAATCTGAAATCTGAGTTTGAAAGAGAATGCAGCGGGTCTTGTTGCCGAAATCTTATGCTCATATGTTGCATGAAACTTACATGGAGTTCTGTTAAGGTTGGCTGTGTTAAGAGGTGTTTTAGACATATTTCAATTAGAGTTTAGCTCAAAGTTTTG